GTTCAAGTAAGTAGCGGTGCCGCGTTGGATCCAGGTTTTGTTTGGGTTGATGCTGCAGCATCGAGGAAGATAAAGCATGTACATTATTGGCTGCGCTAGACGTGACGTAGGAGAACGGATGGTTTTCAGCATTTCATCATCGTTCTTGCCAGTGCTTCGGCTAGACTAGATAATATTGTGGAACATGTTTGGTTTTGTTTTTAACCGGAAAATGTTATATTCATTTACAGTTTTCTGTAAAAGATATGCAAAATCTGTAATAAACTGTGTGACCGTTCCGTAAAAACGGTCGAAAGCAGAAAGATTTTTTTATGATACTATTGAACTTGAAAATTTGTTTAGAAAACAAACAGATCCACGGAATAACATTGGGAGCTCGGACTGAGAATCTTTTCGAAGATAAAATGATCAAATTTCCATGATTTGGGACCACATTCTTTACCTTTTGAGATTCCAGACACAGAAAAATTAAAATGTTCAATATTGTGTAATTTTTAAGATCTCAGATCTAAAAAAATCGTGGCTTTGAAAAAAAATTGGATTTTAACACTGTACAATTGTGTACAAGATTTGAAAGAGAATGCCAAATGAGTGTTGATAAGAATTCATCACCATTGCAAAAGGGCGAAACTGCTTTTATAAACTATTACTTTGGCCGTCAATTTCTCGCAAATTAAAGCTTGCATATGAAAACTAATAACACTAACAAGTAGGTGGTTGTTTTTTTTACTAGATGATATGGTTAGTTTTCATAAGTAAACATTTATTTGTAAGAAATCGGCGGTTTAAGTTATTGTTTATAAAATCAGTTTCACCCTAATGAAATCAAATTGCGTGATGAGGGATCTCAAATTCCGATATGAAGAAAAAAAAAAAATCAATATACCAGAAGTCCAAGTGTCCATTATGCCAAACGTCCTTATGTCAAATGTACCATACCCATCCTAGACATGAATAATCTTACTAGGTTCTGTGACATGAAAAGGTTTCAAGCATCTAAAACTAACAAACTATTCAAAATACCGGACATCGAATATGGGAACACAGTGGCGTCACTTAACCTCAATTTTTACCTATGCACCAACTTTCAAAACCAGATTTAATGCCTTATTCATACTCGAATCGGTTGAAAAATACACTTAATCTTCTAGTTTACTCGATATCTATCCATTGCAAGCAATATTTTGATAATTGTTTATGTTTTGAGAGTTGGTGCACAGGTAGATTGAGGTTAGGGAAACGCCACTGTGGGAACATGTTTAGAGATAGAGGAGTTAGCAAAAAATCAAGTGCCTGAGGCTTGGATTTTTTTTATGGATTCCTCAGGATTCTCACTGGAATCATTTAGAAAAAGTTTCAAGATCATGGCACTTATGGACAAATTTATGAAACTCTGGGACATAGCTGATTTGATTAGGTATCAGACTAAATCTTTAGTACCTCATGCTAAGGGAAAGATAACAATTCCGAGCTTGAAGAAATATTCAAAATAACAAAATATTGGACTTTGAACTTTTATTAGCAGAATGAGATTGAAAAAAGCATTTTTCAAAACGACGTATCTGATATCAATCGACGATTGTTCTTACCTGCTGGCTTACCCACGCAAATTGACACCACCATCAGGTAGGGGAATTTCCCCCACCAGCTGGTGTTGTTAATTTGTGTTAGTGAACTGCCATTTGCAACAAATCGTTGAGACTGAAGTTACTGTTTACCAAATCAGACACGTCGATTTGAATAGTTGATTTCATGATTTGAAGGATCAAATCAAATTCCCGGTTATGTCCCGAATGTTTTCGATTCCTGGTTTTCCAGATTTTCTGCGTTCAATGGTCATCCTGGTAGACAATCAATCAACCCCCTCCCCCCTCGTATGTAGTGCATGACAAGGTGGCTCGATTTAAGCATGTAAATCCAAATTCAATTAAATACGGGAAATGTTGGCCTATGGATCTAAGATTGGGCCCATCGTTAGAAATCTGCTATTTATCAATTTTATCTAGATGAACGCGTCATTGAGACTGTACTAATGGATATTTTTAGTTGCTATTGAAAACTTAGTCGATTGCTGAATTTATGTATGGGCCCATTTTAGGGGCATTTAGGCTGACATTACATCCATTTCCCCTATATCGGTTTTCTTTTTCTCGGTTGTTCAATATAGTCCCGGTGTAATAGAAACAACAAAAATTGGTAAAAATAATGAATACCGGCAAGGTTAATTTTAGTTTATGAACAACCTCTATAATATAATATTATGTTAAGTAAGCAATCAATCCAAGGGATTTCTGAGGAATGCTCCAAACCGATTATAATTCCAATCGAATTCTGAAGATAGTCCCAAAAAATAATTTGCAGAATATTGAGCTTATTCTGGAAATATTTTCAAAGGATATCTGAGCAGCACTCTAGGGAGATTCTGAAGAGGGTTCAAAGGGAAATCCGAGAAAAATCCAAGGGAATCGAATTTCCAGGGAAAAACAAAATTTCAAGAAGAATCCGAGAGTTTTGAGCGGAATCTCACAGAAATTAAGAGGAGAATTCTAATGGAATTCCAAAGGAGTTTTGTGTGGATGCTATGGAAAGACTTCGGTGAATTCAAAAGATTTTTTTTTATGAAGATGCTGACTTCTAGATAATTTTGACTAGAATTCAGTGACGTCACGTAACCTCATTTTACTGGTCCAACAAAGTTGAAAACGTAACTTAAATCCATATTTACATTGAAATCAGCCATAAAATGCACAGGGTCTTATAGTTTTACTGATTTTTGTCGATTTAAAGCCATATCTAGATAGAGCTGGAATAAGGGCGAATGTCGCAAGTGTAAACAAACTGAGGTTAATACATCACGTTATACTACTATTAAAATGCTACAAAGCGATACTTAAATTTTTTGTACAAATAACGTACATTCATTGTACAAATAATGTACATTTATTGTACATTTTTTTATTACAAATTGAGTTGGCTCTTACGGCCGCTTCCTCCCATAGACATATTTCCTCAATACAAGGCGAATGATATAATTTGAATCTTTTCACTACTCCTTGCAATTACCGGTTGGTAATCAAAAGAAAACATTGTTAATCTGATCGAAATAAGCGAAAACACCCCAACACATGAATTTATCTAGAATCCAACAAACTGCAAAAGGTCGATAGTAACAAACCATCAGGAAAAAGAACGTAAACATTGAGGCGAAACAGACAATGTCAAAAACTAGCAGGTGAAACATAGGGGCGAAATAGCTTCTGTGAACAAGATACTATAATTCAAAAGGGCGCATGCAACATTTTCATTTTTTTCGAGCTGTAAATAAAAATAATAATATTTTTATTTATCTCACCATAATGCAAACCAATAATATAATAATTAGGAACAGTTCATTTCTAGAAATGGGCTTATAGTTTAAATTATATTTAATAATTTTTGTTCAAAACTTCAGATTCATTTTTCTCAGTTCAAGGTCATTGCGACATTGGCCCTAATTCCAGCTCTATCTAGATATATACGGTGTCTCAGAATGTCTATGCACAACTTCATGACACCCCTGCTTGTTTCAGATGACGTTTAAACAGCTGATTATCACGCTGAATCATTGTTTACATTTCGACCAACAGTTTCGTGTATCGCAAGTGTCGGTTCTTTATACTCCCGTGACAATGCGAAACATTTCTCCGAAAAAGTGCAAACAGATCGTTCACAAATGGTGTACTATCCCCAACATTTCTCTGAGTCAATTAGCGAAATTGGAAGGTGTAAGCATCGGGGCCGTGATTTGGAAGTGTGGTGATGAAGCAACTTTCTAGGACAAGTAAAAATCTGGACGTAAACCGAACCTTGTTGACCGAAATCTGGACTGGAAAATCGTGCAAGCTTTCACTTCGGTTCGAGACGTGGCTAAAAAAGTGGGATTCTCGAAGAGTAACCTCCAGCGGGCCAGGCAAAAATGGGTCTAAAGACGTATAAGATGCAGAAGAAGCGAAGTGGAAAACAAGCCGCATCCGTCAAAACGAGGGCTCGGAAGTTATACGACCAATTCAGGCATAACATTTAATAACGGCACAAAAGCATTTGTAAACAAACTTTCTAAGGCCCTTTACACGCGAACCAAAGTACGAAAAATTCGGTAAAAAGGCTATGGTTTGGCAAGCCATTTGTGAGTGTGGTATGCTTTCCAAACCGTTTGTGACAACGGAGATAATGACAACTGATGTTTACGTGCGTGAGTGTTTAAACAAGCGTCTGTTACCCATGATCCGCAAACACGACGCCTCAGTACTATTTTGGCCGGATTTGGCGTGGATTCACGATAGCTTGGTATAGAGCCAACAAGGTCCAATTCGTGCCCAAGGAGATGAATCCGCCAAACTTCGAATTATAAATGTGCTAATTAGTTGGCCATTTTCAACCAGCCCGTCAATTTCCGGCAAGCGCTTCCAATAATTTGATATTGTAGTTCTGATAGATCCGGTCAATGATGCGGTCGTGCTTCAGACGGAGCTCTCTTTTTTTCCCTAGTTTCTTATGATTGCACCAGTTTTGAACTTCTATATGTTCACTTTAATTTGTTGTAGTTTTTGCAGGAAAAAATATAGAAAGCAGTGAATAATATTATAATAGAATTCAATGCGGTTAAGAAAAAAAAAACTATTCCAGACATATGTAACGCAACATTTGTAAAAAAAAAAAAAACATTAAATTCCGTCATAACATGAGATTGTTTGCGAAAAAAGTAATAACATTGTCTTAAATCTATTAATATCTGAAAACTACACTGAAGCATTTCAGACGCATTCGAATGCAAAAACAACTGAAAGTAACTCGTGCTTTTTATGCTTGTATATCAACAGTTAGATAATGTACCTTTTATGTGTGTGCTGTAAGCAAACAATACTTTTGTTTACAATCAGCGTGTTGAAAAAGTGATGTTTTGATGTTCAACCATAATAAAAATCCAAATAAAATGTACGGTCAAAGGTGCAGATACTTACGGAAATGATTCCTTCCTTCCGGTTGCTACAATCTATCAACACTCAATCCATCGTGATAGACGAATCCCAAAAATCCATCCATTGCTTGCAGACTTGCGCTCACGTTTGCCACTCACTACTATACTGGCAGAATGAAGAAGCAGCTGCTGGTATCGTCACCGCTGAAACTATCATTCTCGCCACCTTCAACCAACCAGCTCTCGACCGAGAGCACACTTCCGCTAATCCAATGCACTATCCAATAATGTGGCCTAGCAGCACCGTTCCCGCTTTCCCCCCTCTGAGACAGGCGGGCTACCGCTGTGTTCTTGCACTGTTATATTATTTTCTTCTACCAACCCAACTCCCCAGCCGAACCACTCTACTCTTGGTCAGAAGAAGCAGAATCACCACCGTGCCCTCCGGGCTGTGTGCGTGAGAATAAAAATCTTCCTGAAACTCGCGTTTTTCACTACTGACTTCTTGCTTCTTGTTGTTGAATATTCTGCTTTGGTCTCACTCACACACGAATAGGGAACCTCTCGCGGAGAAACGCGCTCCGCCACCGAAAGAAGAAATGGCTGCTCCCAGAAAACAGCACCAACTAACGATTGAGACGGAATCGCGCACTATAATCCGGTCACACTGTCAAGCCCAACTGGAAAACTCCATATTAGACGAATTTTCACCATGTCGTTTTGTATTTCGCACACTTCAAAAAAAGTAATAATATCCTGTTATCTCTGGTTTCAAGTCACCCGCGAGTTTTTTTTCCTGTCTTCTTTCTGCTCCTCGCGAAGACGACGACGAATCTACTCTTGCTGTGCCCTTATTGATGGGTGATGGATCTTCGAAGGAAATGAAAGGGGAGAGATTTTACACCGTTTTCAAACGCACTTTTTCCCCATTTGGCACTATTTTCCGCTGTGGAATTTACACGCAAACACTAGATTCGCACACAAACTTAACCTTGGGTACACTTTATCCCCTAAAGAAGCGACTTTGCGGGTCGAAAAGTGCAATAAACAAAACAGATATTTCGGACCACGCACCGCAGCGAAAAAAATGGGGGTTGCACTCAAAGTCTTGCTTTGCTCTGTGCTGCTGAATGAGCTGCTCTTGTATGTAGAGCTGTCGTGTGTTTGAAGATCGTCTTTGCGGATCAAAGGGTGTTTGAGTGTGTTGGTGAAGGCGAGCGCTGCTAGTTTTCAGAACTCTCGCCGAGATGGCGTTGTTTTGACAGTTCTTGACAAGGCGCGCATCATTTTGGACAAAATTACAGTCAGGTTTGCAGCGTGACTGATGCGTGACCTGGCGTAACGATTCAATTCGAATTTTCAACATGGCAGTCCTCGAGGGACTCATAGATTCACCTCGAAGAAGTGATATAGACGAGTGCACGGATGGATTTGAGTTCACTCACTCGACAAAAAGTGACACAACAGAGGGCCCTGTTTACTAAAAATGAACACATATGTCTATTTATTACGAGATTTATTATGCCAAAAAAGGTTCTACATTACTGTAACTGGCGGGTACTAATTTTGATAGACATGATTGTAGTACCGTTGTGGGAGTACTCCTTTCATCCGGTACCGCAATCGCAGTACTAGATTAAAAAAGTATAACCAACGCTACTACAACGATGTCTGTCAACGGTATACCCATTAATGGGTAAACATGTCTAATTACTATAATGAAGCAGTCAAATGATGGGTGAATGTCAATTTCAAACAATGGGTTCTTTTTACACATTTCTCAGATCTCTTTAGACGATAATATTGAGTACTTTTTTACTCATGTGTGAAAAGCATGGATATTGGGTTAAATGCATTTTCGTAATCTTCATTAAAAATGGAATCGGAATACATACACAATTTCATCAATTTCGGTACACATGAACCACCTGGAACTATTTTAAATAATTACAATTACATTAGCTAAAATCACCATCTTAGCGCTTCTCATTGGAACTTTGTATGGGAGTGAGCTGTTAATTTGTTAGTTCAGTGTCAAGCAGTGAAGTTATTATTTTGTTAATCTTGATTCAAAAATCGAGATGCCTGTCTATGGGAACGAAAAAAAAAATCGATGTACTCAGAAAACGAAGCTCTTTCAGATGATGAATATTTTAAGTAGATTTTGAGGGGAGTTTCTAGGAGACAATTCTTAGTATTCTAAGGGAATTCTAAGGATAGTTCAAAATAAATTCTTGGCCAATGAGAGTTTTAGTGGATTGCCGGCGAAGCAGTAAAGTTGAAGTGGTTTTCTTGGTGTTAAATTTTGTTCACCAAGAGTTTTGTGTAGCAGTTGTTTTTGATTTTGTGTATTCGATTGTGTGTTATTTTGCTAAGCTTCGAAGAACACAAGTAAGTAAATACAGTGAATATGTTTTACCCAGGAAGCTTTCGTTCTAAAATCATGAAATACAAGTGTTAAATTTTTGTATTAATAATATGAGAATGTATGTGTAAACCAATGATGATGATTGAAGAATATTTCAAAAAGAAGACGAATACAAATTTAATTACCCTTTGTAGAACCATAAAGAAAAAAAAAATAGTGTTTAGATGTGTTGATTTTATAATCAAAAATCCAGAATTTTGAAAAAAAAGAAGATAATTGAAAAATAAATGCCAATATTACATTGGAGAGAATCTTTAGAGTGTTCAACTGAAAAATCCTAGAATGTTATGAATAAAATTTCTGCAGAGGAATTTTAGAAAGAATCCCAAAATGTATCTAGAGAATTTTGAAAAGAACTCTGAAGAAATCGATCGTTGGAATCGCTTCGGCTGCTAACATTTCTACTTCATTTCGAGTTTCGCCTATCACCGTTAGATTAAAGGCTGGCGCACAATACACGGATAGAAATCCCCTTATACCTTTTGGCAAATTTTTATTGTTGATTATTCATAAAAAGTATAAGTCAACTAATAACCAGACGCCTTGCAAAAAGTTAATGAAGATCATGTGTCAATTAAAATTTATAAGTTGCAACACATACCGTTTATGCATTCTTATAGTACCTATGTGGTTTGCTTTATGGAATGTATAAGGCTGATGTTTTGGCAAAAATGTATAAATGAAACACTTGAATAAATTAATTAATTTTCGTTTCGTGTAGATACGTTTTCAGGTTTTTTTGACAGTTAGCTCATGCATTATCTGTCAAAAAACCCGAAAACGTATCTATTGCGCGCCAGCCTTTAATCTTTCAGTACTCGCGCCGTTGTACAAAATACAACACGAAAAAAAGAACTAACTAGCTTTGGAACTCACTCAACGAGAAACTAAACATGTTTCATGAAATTCAATACCCATGACAAATAGACCAATAAGTGGGGAATATTTTGAAGGAAGTTAGGTTTCAAGAAGTTTCTCAACAAAGATATTTTTTTAGTGAATTTTAACTACTGGAACAGGTTTTAAAATATGAAAAATTACACGTTTAACTGTCTTAAATTAAATTAATTATGGCTGAAATTTACACGTTCATGTAAATTTATATCGTTGTTCGTTGAAAAATCAATTTCAATTCAACTTTTGACATCCATGTAAAACCACGCATGTATGTTAAAATTCAATGAAAATGAATGTGTTATTAAATACTTTCATGTAAAATTAATATTTTTTGTTGTATGTTTCACCTAAGGGCAGAAAATACATCAATCTGACAAATGTAAATCAACGAAAATTTTGCTGTGAATGTGAAAATAACATACTGTTGTATTTTAAACAATGCACAAGTGCTCGTGTTGAACAAGTTCGCGCGAGTACTGAAAGGCTAAGACGCTGTCATCAGCAAAACCTACAATTTCGGCACCATAGCGTTTGACCAAGGTTGGAGCCTTGTGACCCCTACGGTGATCCTAAAGGCCCAAACGCAATGTGGGCGGAAGCGGAACGGAAACGGAAAGTTTGACAGCTGTCACAAATGACATCAAGCTGCCTAACCGAAGTCGATTTGGTTCTAACTTGTTTTCAATCCGACAAATAGGCTTACTAACATCGGGCTTTTCCGCTGCCGCTGCCGTTCCGCTTCCGCTGTCATTGCGCTTAGGCCTTAAGAATCGTCCGCTGTCTCATGTTTGCATAATCGAGAATCCGGTCTTAAAGTAGCTTTTCAGAATACTGCATGCATAGGTAGACAGGAACCCTCATTCTACTTCTTACTTTGTCAGCCTGTTTACGATAATCTTTCCCATTAGCTTTCCAAGTGTTTCCAGTACACATATAGGCCAAAAGGATGATTGATCTCTTTGAAACTTTCTTGGTTTCATAAAAAAAAAACTATCAACAATACTTATTTATGTACATATCTTCCATCGGTCTGAGAAATGACTTTCATCTTAATGTAATTAAAGCAGTAGTTGATGGAATTAATTTAATTACAGCTGTTGCTTGCGTCGAAGTTAAAGCATAGAGGTAACTCTAAGACCAGATGGTCCCGAAGAAACGTGCTCAACTTTTTGGCTCAGCTCTGTTACTATCTTCGGTCCCAAGCTAATCGATGCACCCCTGGAAACATAGGAAAATCCATGAACCCCTCATTTTATCTGTCAAACTTTCATAAAGAATCAAAACAAACATAGTGTAGTACTAGAATTTCGACTAGAATGGGATACGTTAATCGATTTGCTTGGGACCAATAGGCTAGTCAAGTAGTGAGCCAATTTCAAATCGATAGTTTCGTATTGATTGTTGGTTAAAGGTTATTGTGTGTCCCTAGTGTGTTAACCTACTTTACTTCAAAATGGGTGAAATTGTACTCATTAATGGGTACTATAATGTTAGAGTGCAGAGAACAAGAGCTGAAGCAAACAGAGAGGAGCGCAGGGTGGTGTTCCAAGAGGCCAGGGCTCAGCTAGGTGGCATCCCTATATTGTTTGCCTTGCCTTGAAAAGAGCTAACATCGCTGCGGGCCCGCGAATTGTGGGCCCCACTGACAGCTCATAATTTGTAAACAAATAGAAGATTCAAGCCAGAATTTCAAAAAAGGCGTGACTAATATTATGGATATTCTTAATATTTTTGCTTACATTTTGTGAAAAATAAACTTAGGACTCATAAAATATTATTTTCTGATTTTCTACCACGAAGTCAACCATTTATATGGCATAAAAGGGAAAATAATTTCATTTGATAAAAATAAGACAATTCAGTCACGCCATTTTTGCAGTTCACACTGGAATTGTGACGTTCCAGATGTTGGTTTCAATAACATGGCGGCATGTCACCCAGCTGCCAGGGCTGCACTAAAACGAAAGATAAAGCTGAGCAAGTCAAACAGTTTCAAGGAGCTGTGCCGCGATGCCGATACCAACCTCTGGGGCAACGCATACCCAAGCTGAAAGTCATCGTGGAGGGACTTTTCCCATAGCATGACCTAACAACCTGGCCACCTACACCATATGACGAGGAAGATGGAGACAACGTTGAACAAGTCTCGAACGAGGAACTCCTAGCAGCAGCGAAAGGGTTGAAGGCGAAGAAAGCTCTTTTTTTTTTTTTTTTTTTTTTTTTTTTATTATAGTCACTTTAACACTCTTGGGTCATTCGTGACTTGTCCGGGGGTGAGATTAGAACTCGTGGCTTTGGCGTGAAAGGTATGGATGCTAACCACTACGCCGGGGTCGCCCCCGCGAAGAAAGCTTCCAAACAGAAGTGGAGAGGAAATCGATACTGCGCCGTGACTACGATTGATGTGAAGAATGCATTCAATAGCGCCAGCTGGGAGGCCATCGCCAAGGCGCTCCATAGAATGAGGGTTCCAGACTACCTCTGCAGTATTCTAAGTAGTTACTTCCATAACAGGGCCCTGCAGGGTTACTTCCAATCACTTGCTATAAAAAAAATTGTGCATGAGAGTGGGATTCAATTTAAATATGATATATTTTCCAGATTCACCAAGAATTCGAACTGATGTTTCCTGATACAGATGTTAAACCTGTCAATATTGCTTTCAGTGCGTCACAATCAGCGATTTAACTATTCGTGAGCGCTCACGCAGAGTTGACGCTCGCGAATCATAAGATGGCCGTTTGTGACGCTCTGAAAGCGAAATGGATAGGTTTTATGAGTCAAACACATCCTTTACACCCTTTTCTTGTTACTTACAAG